CAGCAGGAAGCTCTTCATAAATCCACCTCAAGATAGTTACACCTGGTGAATTGTCCTCCTTTTGCACAGTACTGTGCATGTAAACAATGCAGAGAGGTCCCTCAGGTAACTCACTACATATTTTATGGAAAATATTCTTCTTAAGTCGCCCCCCACTCACAACTTGAGCTGCATGCCACAAAAAAGAAGCGATGAAACAGAATAAAAATGACAATCAAATCAAAATAACATTCTGCGAGAGAGTAAATTTCTCCAGTATAATCCTTAAAGAAAAAAAATCTGGCTTCCACTAGATATTTAATGTCAATCATGTGAGCCAATATCTCTCAATTCTCTTCTTAAAAACTGAAAGACACTAACTTTGAGCATATTTGAACTTAGCTAACTGAAAAAACCAGTCATAACTTCGATGACGAGACTCAAGTAGAGACACACGGTATAATCAAACAAAACCACTTAATTCTAGGATAGGCAGAATTAAGGCAAAAAAGAAGACATAATCATCTACATATAGTTGCAAAATTTTCTCATAATAACACAAACAGTAAAAAGGGAAACAAAGCCATCAATCAATTTTATAACAATCTCAAACAAAACAAGACAGAGCCCACTAACAAAAGTCATTAAAAATCACCAAATACTCACACACAAGCGCTCAAAACCAAGAAATAAACAAACTTTTCAGAAGGGTAAGGTAAGACAAAGACTGCGTCTTTGTTATCATTACCAGGAAAGTACTTGCCAACAATACGAAAGATACGGTTTCCAGACTTATCAGAACCTTGAAGGGTAAAGAACTGCAAGAGATCAAGATCAGAGAAATCTTCATCTGAAATAAAATCCTGAGAACAATCGTGCCAGTTTTCAGGTTCTGGGTTTTCTTGATTTTGTTCCCTTTCTTTGTTTGTGAGAAAGGGTCTAGCATCTATGCCTAAATCTGATGCTAACACAAATACTGAGAAATCGTCGCTTGATGAGGTTGCCATGCCTAAATTGATGACCTCCTTGGGTCTTGCAGTGGCTGTGGTTTTGTTGTTTTGGGGTTTGACCCGTTTGGTACTGGGAGAGTGAAAGGATAAGCTACAAAGCCTCCCTTACTTTAGCATTATTATTATTATTATTAAAAGTTAAACTGAATTATTTGTTTTTTGGATTAGCTTGTCAATCCATCCCGTGTGAATGACTTGCTATCTAGTAGAAAAGAAATAAACTATATTTGGACCCTCCAATTATCACCGAGGTTTCAATTAGGTATTCCAACCTGTAAAAAGAGTCAATTAAACTTTTTAGCTATGAAAGATCAGAAAGAACTTGGTATTGTCAAAGACTTTTACTACACACACACACACACAAAAACAATCTCTTTCAAAACCCAAAAACCACAAACAACCAAGTCACCTCACAAATTCTCGCAACAAATGATATAAGAGAAGACATTATTCTCTTAGTTTTGAATTATACATCTCACGATTCTAGGTATTCATATATATTTATACACAGGATAGATGCATGCATGGGTACGAATTACTACAAAGCCTTCAGAAGCTATTAACGATTGTAAAAGAACATCTTGGCCAAATCCTAAACTCAAAGAATTCAAGAAAAAAATCCATTCGTTGATAGATATTTACTTGGAGAACAAGTAGATGGGGTCAAATATCTCTTCAAGTCTTTTTTTTTTCCTGTTACCACTTACCATTTATTTATATAATAATATCACGTTCAAATGATGTTTAACTTAAAAAAATATAAAAAAATTATGTGTTTTTAATGCTAAGTATAATTTAAAACGCATAGACAAACATAACCTAAGAGTTATAAAAAAAGACAGCCCATGCAAAAGAGTAGAAAAGACTCATTCATTGAATATATATATCTTAAATAGATAAACACAAAGAAATCAAAGTATTATTGAGAGCAAAACAAAGTTATTGAAGTTAGAAGCTGCAATTTGTTGCAGGTATAAGCAGCAAATAGCAGCCCTAAATCTATTTTTTTATAGGACTACTATCTATCACATTCATCAATTGTGTAAATGAATTGGTTTAATCGAACCCTTTTCAGGTGGAAGACCTAATTCAAAACTTATTAATAGTTGAATGGCCATAATGTAGTTTTTCCATTCAAAAATGAAAAAAAAGAAAGAACAACCTTCCAAAGCCACACGACGGGTCATTAAGAATATCCTTGGATTAATAATTTATGTGATAAAAAAGTGGTAAGGATTTGAAATTAAGAGATTTGATTTTTTTGTAATTTTAGTGGAATATCCTTGGATTAATAATTTATGTGATAAAAAAGTGGTAAGGATTTGAAATTAAGAGATTTGATTTTTTTGTAATTTTAGTGGTAAGGATTTGGGATTAAAAGGTTTGTTTCCTCTGTAATTTCAGGTTCGAGTCCTTTGTTGCTCATATGATGATCACTGAAAATTTATATGATCGTTAACTTCAAGACCAATAAAATTAATCGTGATACAATTGTGTAAATGAATTGGTTTAATCGAACCCTTTTCAGGTGGAAGACCTAATTCAAAACTTATTAATAGTTGAATGGCCATAATGTAGTTTTTCCATTCAAAATGAAAAAAAAAAAAGAACAACCTTCCAAAGCCACACGACAGGTCATTAAGAATATCCTTGGATTAATAATTTATGTGATGGCAAAGTGATAAGAATTTAGAATTAAAAAATTTGTTTTTTTTATAATCTCATGTTCGAATTATTTGATTTAACTTTAAAACCAATAAAATTTGTCGATATTTGACATCCATATTAATGAACATGTAGTGGCGTCTCATGTTCACATACGTTGTCTGGTCATTGTCTGGATGGCAATTGGGGAACCCTTTAGATAAGCCATAGCATCATCCACTGTATATTTCTTCTATTTTCACCAGATTTTGTCACTCAAGAAAAGAAAAAAGGAAAAAAGGAAAAGAGAGAGATTGAAAAAGTATAAAAAGTTTTAATGACACTCTTTTGAGCTCCAAGGAAAGATTTTTTTTCCCTTTTTTTGGTAAGCCATTAACTCTGAACCTTATGTTCTTGTTACTAATATTCTTGATTATCCCAGATACTTGAAGAATCTTTGATTTGTTGTTCTTTATATATTGCTGTAGTTTTTGTTACTAGTTGGTGATAATTTGAGTCCATGTAAGAACCCAGCTGGTTTTTGTTTTCTTTTGATAATAGTGTATTGGTTTTGCCAGGGATTGGCATCTCAGTTTGAAACTGAGAGATTCTTGAAGACAGCCTTGAGTTTTTAGAAACTTGTAGGGACCCAGTTGGGATTTTGGAGGGATATTTGATAGGGATAGTGGAAGAACTATGGATACTTTGTTGAAAACACATAACAAGATTGCATTTTTGTCTCAATTTCATGGGTTTTTGGAGAAAGTTAGTAATTCGAGCTCCTTAAAGATTCAAATCCAGGAACTTGGGTTTGGCCCCAAAAAGTTTTTTTCAAAAGGGGGGAGGAATGGTTGTGTTGAGGCTAGTAGTAGTGCACTTTTGGAGCTTGTACCAGAAACCAAGAAGGAAAATCTTGAGTTTGATCTTCCTATGTATGACCCATCGAAAGGCCTTGTAGTTGACCTTGCAGTTGTGGGGGGAGGTCCTGCAGGGCTTGCTGTTGCGCAGCAAGTTTCGGAGGCAGGGCTCTCGGTTATTTCGATTGATCCATCTCCTCAGTTGATTTGGCCTAATAATTATGGTGTTTGGGTTGATGAATTTGATGCCATGGATTTGCTTGACTGCCTTGATACCACTTGGTCTGGTGCTGTTGTCTATGTTAATGACAAGACAAAAAAAGGTCTTGATAGGCCTTATGGGAGGGTTAATAGGAAGCTGCTGAAGTCCAAAATGTTACAGAAATGCATATCCAATGGTGTTAAGTTTCACCAAGCTAAAGTTATCAAGGTTATTCATGAGGAGTCCAAATCTCTATTGATTTGCAATGATGGTGTCACAATCCAAGCTGTCGTGGTTCTTGATGCAACTGGTTTTTCTAGATGCCTTGTTCAATATGACAAGCCATATAATCCAGGTTACCAAGTGGCTTATGGAATTTTGGCAGAGGTAGAAGAGCACCCGTTTGATGTTGATAAGATGGTTTTTATGGATTGGAGAGATTCACATCTGAACAACAATCTGGAACTAAAAGAGAGAAACAGCAAGACCCCTACTTTCCTCTACGCCATGCCCTTTTCATCAGACAGGATATTTCTGGAAGAAACTTCCCTCGTAGCTAGGCCTGGAGTACCAATGAAAGATATACAGGAAAGGATGGTGGCCAGATTAAGGCACCTAGGTATAAAAGTGAAAAGCATAGAGGAAGATGAGCGTTGTGTCATTCCAATGGGGGGACCTCTTCCTGTGCTCCCCCAAAGAGTAGTTGGAATTGGTGGTACAGCCGGTATGGTGCACCCTTCAACTGGGTATATGGTAGCAAGAACTCTAGCAGCTGCACCGATTGTTGCTAATTCTATCGTTCAGTATCTTGGTTCTGATAGAAGCTTTTCAGGAAGTGAGTTATCAGCTAAAGTCTGGAAAGATTTATGGCCCATTGAGAGGAGGAGACAAAGAGAGTTCTTCTGTTTTGGTATGGATATTTTGCTTACGCTTGATTTACCTGCGACAAGAAGATTTTTTGATGCATTTTTTGATCTGGAACCTCATTATTGGCACGGATTCCTGTCATCTCGACTGTTTCTACCTGAGCTTGTACTTTTTGGGCTTTCACTGTTCTCCCGTGCTTCTAATACTTCTAGGTTAGAGATTATGGCAAAGGGAACTCTTCCTTTGGTTAATATGGCCAACAATTTAATACAGGACAGAGAATAGATGACTTGGAGTCAGTTATCTTCTAAATCTGTTGCATCTACATACTGAAATTTCTGTGCTATTCCCTATAATTGTGAATAGAGCACTATGAACCACCTGTTATTTTCTTGTATGTTAACTGCGTATCCAATCCATAGCTCACACACACTTGTTTCTTGTGGGTGCAAAGTGCAGTAGATTCATTGGTGTGCTCTTGTTTTTCCAAAAGTACATTTCTAAATCATTTTGTTGATTGATGCCCTGCGTTGTATAGAATAAATTCATTCTTTACTTGATTACCATTCATTCACTTAGAACTCTTGTTGGATGCTGCTTGAAATTCAGTTAATAATGCCTGAAAAACGAGTTATATCTGCAAGACAATTCTATGAGAACCAGGGATGATATGTTAATGAACGGATTGAAGTGTTTATTACTACCAAGAAGCTGTGATGCAGGGAATACATTCACTGTGGTCTTTTTAGGCTGTTTTTGGATGTAAAATAAATTTAGTTGACGTGATGGAGATGATGAATTAAAGAATAGGGAAGTTTCATGGATTGAAATTATAAACCAGGTTGCATATACTGGCATTCATTTGTTATAGGTGAAGGACATGTATGAATTATGAACGCCACCACTTTCAGAAATCAATAGATCTTCAGTTAGATACATATGTTGTTTCACAGAGTCAGACAGGTACCATGACTGAAACATCCTCTGACTACAAACATTTGCTAATACAGTGATGAAAATGGAATCAAATGGGTGATGGATTCCAGAAAGGGCCTATGCCAAAAGTATGGATTTTCTGTTGGGTTGTAAGACTTTACAGCGTACGAAGCCTGAATGAAACTCTAAACAAAGTCCCATGGTTGCACCAACTATAGCAAGGAAAGTCAATGGGTTACTGTAACATTTCTCAATGCCCTGATTCGCCTAGGACTTAATTTTCACTGTTAACAGACTCTCGAATTGCCTATATCAATCATAGATTCATCAAGACGCCCTTTTGAATTCCTCTATCTCGTTTTTAATCTTGATGAACATGTATTCTTTGTCTAAGCTATCTTCTTTGATGAAGAGACCTGCGAGTCTAAGCTTCAGCTTCTCAGCATCGTTTTGAGTTGGAATTACCATGGTGGATAGGATCAATTTTGATAAACATAGGTTCATAGTACTTCTTGAAGTTCTTCTCGCGTGACATCAATTAATGGAACCTTTTGTATCTTTGGTTTGGTTTCTTGTATATGCAACCCCTCGAAAATGGCATCCTCCAAGGTCTTCAACTTATCCTGCAAACGGCTGCTCACAAGAGATCTCTCTTTTTCGTGGATTGTGATGTTCACCTGTCATGGTGCCCCCTCAACATATATATTGGCCATCGGCAGATTCTATACCTGCAACCTTCCCAGCACTAGGGGTGACCATTGGTTCGAACGATTTCAAGTACGGCAGTATAAACTAGGATGTTTGGTGATAAAATCAAGTGTATTGCGCACTTGTGACTACAATCTTGGCTTTCTACTTCCAGAATCTGTGGCTTGGCACTGCACATAGAAAGTTGACTTGATTTTCTCGCTTTCATTTAACTTCATTAAGGCGTCATGCTTCTCATCCTATCTGCATATGCTTTACGTAAGACAATTTTCTTCTCTTTCCTAAATTCGTTTGTGTATTCCAAATTTGTTCAGTATCCTTTTCTTTCCTAAATCATTGTTGATTAAACTGGTTCCTGGTGTTTAGGATGATCAAAATTTGTATGCATGCACTTTCAAACCTTCAGCTTGATCGATGGTTTGATCAACGAACCGCATGTTTGTGCCCGCAGAGGATTGGCGACACAGTTCATACTTGCATTTACACGTTGTTAGTGGTAGGAGGATGGCAATCTCTGTGGACCTTGGAATGGCGCAACTGATATTAAAGGTGAGCAAAATAACCAGATTATTTAGAATATCGGTAAAAACTGATTTGCTTGAAATTAACCGAATCAAACGGTTTTCTGAATTTGTTAGATAACGTGGTTAGGAGATTTTAACAAAAAAAAATTTCATTCAATTTAGGCTTTCAATTTTAGAAATAGAAAAAACTAACACAATAAATCTAACTAGAATACCAAGGTTATTTATTGTTAGAGGATAATATAAAATTTTTTTGACACTTTATCTAACAAAATTTTTTTTAACAAGATATTAGAGTTTTATTGATTAAGTGGTTATATGTTTATATTATTCACTATTTTTATTTTGTACAATAAAAATTAAGTACAAAATAATATAATGTCCAAAAATATTTTAAAATCAAAAAGTTTTTTTTGGTCATGTTTTATCTGAACTAAATCAAAAACATAAAAAAATAGCCTAACTTTTTAACTTTTAGCCAATTTAAACCTATTTGGTTTTAATAAAAACAAGGTTAAACTAGCCTATTTAAATTTTTTTGGTTTTAATAAAAGCAAAGTCTAACTTAATCAAATCAAATTGATTGATTTTTATTTTTATTCATTTTAATTTAGTTTAAAATGTTAAAAGAAACCAATTTGGTTGGGTTTTTTTATTTATAAACTAAACTGGTTTGAATTAATGCTCACCCCTAGATTAGATTGGAAACAATAATATTACTAAATTAGATAATTGAGATTTGAGTTTCGTTTGACAGTGGATGACACATTTTATGAGATGTAATCTAACAAGTGATGAACCAATGATTAAATCTAATTAGTAATTAGATTTTGAAGCACTTTAAGTAAATTAATTTAGTGATTAAATAGCAAAAAGATTAGCAAGATTAAAAAAGAAAAAAATATTATCAAATAATCAACATTGCTAAACTTATTTATTTGGGAATTTCATTCCTAATCATGATATCTTTTTCCTCAAAGTTTATTATTTTTTTTGGTTAAGAATTACACCATCCAACACAGGTTTATAAATTTTAAATCAAAGATATACAGACTAATTTGATAAAAATTAAATCAGATGCATGAGCGAAACTATAACAATTATTTTTGAATCACATAAACAGGTTTTTATTTGACAAAGATAGGGAAATCAAATAAGAGGTACAGAATGAATACATGACAGTCACACTCTAGTTAACTTAAAGAAAACCACACACAAGCACACACGTAGTATCATGCTGAGGGACGTCTCAGGTACCATTAGAAAACCTACATGGAATTTAGGATTTGAACATTGGAAGCTGTCGCATGCATCATCACCTCCGAAGGGAATCTTACTGGTTACCTGGGTATAGTGTTTTATAGGTCTGGATGAAGGTAAGTACGAGGGCAAAGATTGCACCCATAAATGCCAAAAAGGTCCAAGGGCTGCTAAAATGATTATGCAACCACTCTGCTACCCATTTCTTGATGACATTCTTGCAATGCTTCTCGATGCTGGATCTAACATTACCATAAGCATTAGGGTTGAACACCATGAAACTGGAAATTTTATTGAAGAGATCTGCAACCTCTTGGTCGCTTCCAAGAATATTTAATAATATGCCATTTTTCCGCAGTTCTTTCACATCTTCAGAGTCATCAATCAATGAGTCCAAGAACCATGCGTAAGAAGTGTTAGGTTGGTTGCCATTAATGTGCAACAACCATTTGCTATTGCACCAACCATGTGCACTCATCCAAGATGTCAAAGGTTGGCAGCCACCATTGTTGAAGAAGAGTTGGAGTTGGCAGCCACCTTTGTTGAAGAAAAGCCTCCATGAATGCCTATAAATAGAGGCATATGCAAGAGAGCAAAATGAGTGAAGAGAATTATCAAAATGTGAAGAGAGTAGAGAGGAAGAGAGAGCTGCAATGGCAGCAGCTGCAAGTGCAGCAAATAGAGTTGAGAGTTGAGTATGAGAGGGTGTAATCCTCCTCCTCCATGTATTTGTTTTATATTCTTTCTCTATCTCTAAATATATTGACTTCTCCCGTGGATGTAGGCGGTTTTGCCGAACCACGTTAAATATTGTGTCAGTGTGCTTGGCTCTCCTATGAGCAAGTATCGGAACATCACCGGTCGGAATTCCCAACAATTGGTATCAGAGCGTTCGGTTTAAAGTGGTGTTTGATTTTGCTCAAAAATGAAAGTTGTCAAAATTGTGTTTTGACCATACCACTGTGTAGAGGAGGAAGAGACGAAGCCACTGGTGAAAACCGCGTCGAAATCGGACGTCGGAAACTGTCGCACGCGCTGGCGGGGTGACTGTCCATGTCATCAGCCACGTCAGCAGTTCTGCACAGTCATCAGACACGTCACCTGACATATCAGCACTCTGACCAGTCAAACTGCCACGTCATTAGGCACGTCAGCAGTTCTACACAGTCATCAGGCACATCACCTGGCACATCAGCACTTTGACCAGTCAAACTGCCACGTCAGATTTGGTTGACATATATGCCCTACGTGGATGACACGTCATTACATCCACGTCAGCCCCCTGGATTTTGATCCTGTGTGGCAGAGTCTACGTGCAACCGGTTTTGAGATTGAATCTGGGCCGTTTATCAGGCCATAATTGTTTTGATCAAATCTTAGCCGTCTGAAGTGCGATTTGGATGATTTCAGACTTGTTTCCAGCTAATTTGATCGTTCTGGATGCAATGGTATGGTCCGATCGTTGAGATTGAGATCATAAAAGGCAGTGATGAATTATTAAAGAGAGATTGCCCGATTAGGAGGCATCTGATGGTCATCATGGTGGTCGATGGAGCTGAAGAAGAAGAAATCACACATGTTTGCCCAATTACATGTGTTGAACTATTATGTGGGGAATTTTAATTGCCTTGAGGGAAGTTAAAATTGGGACACTCTGGACACCCGATCATTTGGACAATTTGAGGTGGAGAGTAAAATTTGATGAAGACCAATCTTGACGAATCTGAGCACTGGTAGTCTCGCCAGATATTGAGAAATCAGGTATAAAACCAGGATACCCCAGATCACTTGTAAAGGAAAGCCGCAACAAAGCTAGCAAATGGTTGCATATACGAAAAGACAGTACGATGGATAGATATGGCCTAAGAAGTTCTGGCTAGGAGATTGGGTTTTAAGCGGGAACAAGTTGACTCTTGTCAAGGTGGTGAGCTCGGTAATGGCATTGTAATACTCAGAGTATAAAGACAGATATGGATCAACCTTTTATGGGCTGCCCCCATGGTTAAAGGTGGAAAGCTACCTGGACTCTTGAGACTAAGAGCGAGAGACTCATGGAGAAGTAAGGCGTGGTTCCTAGGGTGGAACAGAGGGCAGGTGCAACTCCTGGATGAGTAGACTCTTGGAAGAGTGGTGAGCTTGTGATCATATTGAGATACTCAGATAATGACTGTCGCACTTGAAATATCCGTTTGAGGGGGTGTTGTAAGCCTTGATGTGAGGCTTGAGGAATCATTCCGGACTGAGCGTGGTTGATACGCTCGAAGGGGAATGTTGTTCCAAAGACAAGCGTTAACACTATTCAGATGTGATGTGGCAGACCATCTGGTTATAGTGATCCTTTTGTGTGAGAAAAGGTGTGCTTAGGTCACTCTGATGATTGAAAGGTTTGGCAAGTACCTGTAAACTTGGCTATAAAAGCTCTCAAAATGGAAAGCTTGGAAGAACTGCAAGATGCAAGCTTGTGTTGAAGAAGAATGAGGACAGTTGCCCCACATGAATGGCAAAGGGGGTGATTGTTAGGTTGGTTGCCATTAATGTGCAACAACCATTTGCTATTGCACCAACCATGTGCACTCATCCAAGATGTCAAAGGTTGGCAGCCACCATTGTTGAAGAAGAGTTGGAGTTGGCAGCCACCTTTGTTGAAGAAAAGCCTCCATGAATGCCTATAAATAGAGGCATATGCAAGAGAGCAAAATGAGTGAAGAGAATTATGAAAATGTGAAGAGAGTAGAGAGGAAGAGAGAGCTGCAATGGCAGCAGCCTTGCTGCCATTGCAGCAGCTGCGAGTGCAGCAAAGAGAGTTGAAAGTTGAGTATGAGAGGGTGTAATCCTCCTCCTCCATGTATTTGTTTTGTATTCTTTCTCTATCTCTAAATATATTGACTTCTCCCATGGATGTAGGTGGTTTTGCCGAACCACGTTAAATATTGTGTCAGTGTGCTTGACTCTCCTATGAGCAAGTATCAGAACATCACCGGTTAGAATTCCCAACAAGAAGTGACCCAAAACCCCTCAGCTGATCCAGGGCATGCTTCATGGGCCATCAAGTTTAAAAGCAAGGACTTAGTGCTATCGTCTATGACTATTCGAGGAAGTGTGACTGTTCCGCCACGCATTGTTGATTTGTATCGGAGATCTGTGTACGTATCAGTCTTGCTTGGCATGAAGTGGATTCCCACAGACTTCAGCTCCATGACAGAACGATACGAGCTCCATTGACCAACACCCTTTCGACAGGGATTTTCTTGGCCTCTTTTCCCCATGAATCGGTTGTGGTAAAAGTCAAGAAGATGGGCTGGTTGATTATTGTTCTCCATGTCTCCACTTTTTCCTCTGGGAAGTCCACGAACTTCTTCCATGAAATTTTCCATCAGCTCCTGTCCTTCGTTTCCATCAAACCGTAAGCTCATCAACGACGTTTCCATCAAACCGTAAGCTCATCAACGACGTAAGAACTTTGTAAGGGATTTGGTTCTCTAGTAAGAACAAGTCACGTTTAACAAAATAAGCAAGAATTCGATTACCTAGCTTCAGATTATCAGGCTCGCGCAAGTAGCAGAAGATAAATTGGAGAATGAAGCAACCATCAAGGAGCATCATCTCCGTGAATGCGTTGTCGTCCAAGTCTTTTGTTGAATCTTCATCATAGCATTTCCTTGCAGAGTTGGCCAATTCTGCCACGTTTCTGTACAAGAATTCCCTGGTTTTCCTACTCTTGTTGGCAAACTGTTCCACCATTTCATTCTTGCGGCTCTGCATCTCAGCAAGCTCATGATTAAGATCATCCTTGTGGTGGTAAGGACCAATAGATACCACAAGGGGATTGTAGCAATCCTCGTTGCTGGATGGATTCCTACGAAATATCCTCGGAACCCTGTGACACTTCTTAGAACTTTCCTCTTGTCCAACTAGAATATTATGTTGTTCTGTAGTCATTGTTATTTCAGAATACTCCTACAAAACAAAGCCTTCTATCTGCTTTGATACACAAATAATATATATGACTATAAAATAGAACACACAAGGGCTGGTCTCCAATATATAGATGATGTCCCTCTAGTCATATTCTAAGGATTTTAGCTTTCTTAGAAGCAAGTTTAATTTTATGCTGCTAAATATATGCCTTTTGTCACTGTGTTAGATTATCTAAATCACTTTACCCACGAATATTAAAAAAGTACACATTATCGTGCTTCACAACCTGAATAAAGTATTGAGTTTGAGTGTGGGGTTAATTTAATCACTTTTATCTGCCATGTATATAACGTTATCTTTTCCAAATATTTACTTAAAAAAACCAATTCAACTTAAAATTTTAAATTATTAAATAAAATTTTAAAATATAATTTATATTATTATCTAACACACCTCTTAAGTGAAAACTATTTGGGTTTAAAAGTTGCACATACATACATTATCTTATAGTTAATTTTTATCAAATAAATAAAGGTCGTGAGATTTAAACTTGTAATTGCTTGGTCATTAAAGCTGTAATACTACGTCAAAGAATCAACTCAATTATTTTGGATTAAATTGATTCTTTAATATAATATCAGAGTCTTGATAATCAAGCGTTTACGAGTTTGAATTTCATTATCTTTATTTATTTTTAAAAAATAAGTACAAGGTAATGTAGACTTGTGTAAATTTTAAATTTAAAAAACTTTTATTAAAAAAAATATATTAAAAATAATATAAATTATATCTTAAAATTTTACCAAACAACTAAATTTTTTTAATTAAATTAATTTTGTAACAATTTCAAGTATGACCGTATAAACCAGCTAGATGCGCGTTGATAAAATCAAGTGTATTGCGCACTTGCCTTGGCTTTCAACTTCCAGAATTTTGTAGCTTGACACTGCACATAAAAAGTTGAGCTTGATTATCTCGCTTCATTTGGCTTCATTAAGGCGTCATGTTTCGCATCTCCTATCTGCATATGCTTTACGTAAGACAATTTATTCGAGGCTTTATGCCTTCTGATAAGAATTAATTCTTCTTTGTTTAGTACTTTTTCGCTTTTGCTCTTTTTTCTTTACGAAGTTTAACTCCTTTTCCCTGTCCAAATGAGTACTAGGAAAGGCTGCCTTGTACAGCACAAGGAAACTGGCGACAACCTTCTTTTCAGCTTCTCTAAACAATTGGCTAGAAGTTCTTTTGGCAAGGAAATAAGTTGGAACAGTTAGGTTCATTTTTTTTTAGATTAATGTGGGTATTCGGGCCAGCTTACGCGTACCACGACTAATCCCACGGGCCCTGAAGTTAACGACCATGTAAGCCTCCAGTGACCATTATATGAGCAACCAAGGATTCAAACCTGAGACCATAAAGGGAGCAAACCCCTTAGTCTCAAGTAACCACTTGGCTTGCATTATCTCTTTGGTGTGTAACACGTTGTTAGTACAGTTCCAAAAACAAAAATACGTTGTTAGTACAGCTCCAATCATTATGCACTGGAATGTTCTCTTTTACGTTGTTACTTCAATGGAACAATATTCTCTATCAAATTTAGTGTCAAAATTTCAATATATCGACTTCTTCCTAAAACAAAATTTAGTGTCAAAATCTTTCAAACAATTGGGTAGCAGTGCTTTTCTTTGGCATGGAAGTTGGAATCAATCTCACTTTGCATCAACAGTTTGGCATGCTTGTAGTAATTATGGATTGGAACATTGTCTGTACTTGGTTGCTTCAGTTAAAACATTATTTCATCAAATTTCACTGTTAAAAAAAAAGCAAAAAGAATTAATTGGACTTCTGTTAAAGATTCCTGTGCTGCCCAGGACTTAGCTTTTCTTCCCTGTTTGTGTATTCCAAAATTGTTTGGTATCTTTTACTTTTCCAAAACATTGTTGATTAAATTGGTTCGTGTTCAGGGTGATCAATATATTATGCATGTATGCCCTTCAATTGTAATCTCAAACCTTCAGCTCGATCAATCGTTGGATCAATGAACCGCATGTTTGGTGACTGCCGAGGGTTGGTGACATGGTTCATGCTTGCATTCACACGTTGTTAGTGGTAGGAGGATGATGTCAAAGCCTAGCCACGCATAACAATGCGGAGGCTGTATATGTCTCCAAGACTTCAACCCAATTTAAATTTGAAACACTAGATTTTAATTCAAGAAAAAAAAACAATCATCATTTGGAAATTAGAAGCTGAAAATCGCAAATTAAAGAAGTAACAGAGAATAATTTTCATAAAAGAAAATATAAAAATAAAAGCAAGTATTGAAAGAATAACATGCTACCAGCAAATAATTTAATAAGCGTTAATCTATTGCAATTTGGAGACTAAATTTTTAATAACTTACAATGATAATTTAAATTGTTTAACCAATAAATAATGTAAAAAATTTAAGCGAAAAAATTAATGGACATAGCAACCGAAAAATGCATCGAGAATTCATCCGCACATACAGTTTTCTATATCAAACAATAAAGCAAAGAAAGCAACAAAAAATTCAATCCCGAGAAGATGATTCGGGAACTATATATATATATATTGAAAGCAAAATAAGTGTTGTAGGAGCTTATGGATGGACAATAATGCGAAGATACAAAACTAAAGAATAAAAAGAATGTTTGAGAAGAAGGAATATTTCATTAAGTGTTTTGTCCTTTATGCATAATTTTTCTTTATGGTTCTGATTACATGTCTATTTATAGGTTTAAAATCCTATAAAATTAAAAAATTAAACTAATTAAAGAAAAACTTATTCTAAACAGGAAAAGTAATTCTATCGACTTATCCGGTTGGCTGATTCCTTTATTTTTCAGAAAAACAAGAAATCTAATTTATTTTCAACACCCTTCTTAAACTTGATTTCTTATAACTCTCAGTATATCTCTTATCTTTATAAAAATATCATGTTTGAGTAGCTTAGTGAAAATATCTGCGACTTTGTAAAACCCAAATTTTTGGTGCAAATCTAAGCTCAAGTCAGCCCAAACCTAACCTAAGTTAACCTAGATTTTTATGAAAGAGTTGCAAGAGAATATCTTTCCTCTCTTCTAATTCATGTAGCCACCGTGACCCTCCCTTCCTCAAACCAAAGAGTTTTGTTTTTTATCTTGAATATTTGGTTTAAGAAAGGTGGAAGTAGCAAGTAAGTGGTTCTCTTTCATATTACTTTCAATTATAGTTATTTATGGAATGATTAAATAAGATATTAAGATTTATAAAAATTGAAAGTTTATATTTTTAAGATTAGTTGATGATTATTAAGGGTTTAATGTTAGGTGATTAATTAGTATGTTGTTGGAAGGATTTATGAGTTGATTTGTTTAAATTAATTTTATGGTTAAGAAATTCAATTTTTACCTTGATGTAAAATATGGACAGAATGGTCTTGAGTTGAAGATGATCAAATTTTATTTTTGTCCTTGATTTAGGAAAATTTCAGTTTAGTCCCTAGACTTTGAAAAAATTACAATTTGACCCCTAAATATATTTTGAGATTCTAGATGGTGTTATTATGCAGTTAAGGATGATGAGTCTCAATTTGATAATTGATTTGAAATATTTATATTTTGGTCCCTCAATTTTAGGAATTTACATTTTAGTCCCTGAAGTTTTAAAAATATAGTTTGGTCCCTATGTCATTCTGGACAGAATTGAGGATGTTTTATGGGTGAAATTTCAGTATGGTTTATGTATTTATAGTTTGGTCTAGTTTTGGTAAAATTACGTTTTGGTCCCTCTTTTAGATATTTGTCGTTTTAGTCCCTAAACCTAAGAGACTAAACCTGGTTTTATTTTATGCATTGGAATCTTTTAATTTTGTTGCTTTGAGTTGCTTTTGAGTATATTTCATATATTTATTGTAGGTTCTCTTAACGATCCTCAATAGGTTTTCGAGTTTTTCATTTGATATTCCTTTTAGTTCTATATTTTTCAGTTGAGTGGGATAATCTTTAATATGCATATAATATAAATAAATATATATATTGATTATATGATGAATATGATTAGTTAATCTCTTGAATATTTATATATGTTGCTTTATTTTTCAAGTACTCATCTATCCTTGAATTTGCACTCGCAATCTGTCAAACTAAATTCTATTTGATATGATATACGTTTCGTTAATTATTCTTTAAATATCTATTATGCCTTGATATAGGACTTGTTAGTAACTTCATGCTAACAAAGAGTAGTTAGCCTATGTGCACATAGTATTCTATATATCTAGCTGGTGAGAGAGGCATCAACTTGTGGCAACTAATCATCCCATAGTGGTCATCTTCGGGTGTCATCTGGTCACTCTTGAATGTCATCTGATCTCTGACATGTATATTCCACTACTCTATGATAATATGTTTAGTATGTACATGTATATGTATATAAAGATAAACCAATTTGCAAACTATTAATACTTAAAATATCTAAAATGTATATTAAATATTATTCCCTCACTAAGTTGGTTGAACTCACCCCTTATTCTTAATATTATTTCAGGTTCTTAGTTTTTTATAGTAGGTAGACTTTATTGAGTGTTCTTGTTTCTTCAGTTTTGGCCGGTATGCCTTACTTGTTTTGTGAGGCTTTCCTTTTAGTTTCGATTCGATATCTTAGATGCTTCATTATTACTTTGTTTTAATTAAGTTTGATTTTGATAATGTAATAAGTATTATGGATTATTGTTTTTGTTTTAATTACTGATGAAGAGTTTTGAAATATCCTTTGGTTTTATCAGTTTTAAATAATATAATATTTCTAAAGATTATGAAATGCTGCATATTTTTAAATAACTTGTTCTTTTGATATGTCCATTCTGAGGCTTAGCGTAGGTGGGGTGTCCTTTCGACACCGCTCCTGCATTGTCAGTCACGGACCTAGGATTTGGGTCGTGATAGACTTGGTCTTAGGTCTTTACATACTTGACTTCAATTTTTTTGTTTATAATGCAATCTTATATGTAATGAAATCTTGTATCAATGTGCTTACTTTTATCATGAAACATATGATTCTTTGCTAAAATAATGACTAAAATGAAAAAAGAAAATCAACATAGGGGCTAATAATTGAGTTTGACAAGGGTAAAATTGCATGAAATTAAGAGTTTGGAGACAATTATAGGTGCAATTAAAAGAAATTGAAAGAACATGGACTTAATTGAAATTTGTTAATCTCAAATTAAAAACCTTAAATAATGCATCATTCATACTTAATGAAAAGAATGTAAGTAACACATTGTTTGTTAGACCAGCCTTTGTTTTGATAGTTTTGGCTGATCGAGTTGACAACTTCAAATGAATTAATATAAAGCTACAAACCTTCAAATTACACAAGGTTGGATCCAAATAAAAGGTGTGAATCTTCTTTATCAACTTCAAGTGGTTTCAAGTGATGATAACGTCAAAATTGCTTTGACGAGGTTTCAAAAATAGGCAACTTATCAACCATGACTTAAACACACTTGTGTAAGAACCGACCTTTTTTTTCATATGTTCATACATAAAAGGCTCTTAAAAAAGTTATTATCAAGAGTTTACAACATTTACCTCAAGATCAAGAGGTTAGAATAGATTCAATACCTCCTAAAACCTTAGTAAAACCTTATAAATACTCGTTTAAGAAAAGAGTTATAAAGAAGGGGAAAAAAAAGGAAGGAGGGGAGAAAAAATAGGAAAATATGAATAAAAAATTATAAATGTAAAGGTTCAAGAGTTTAACATAAATGTTTTCTAAGTTTTGAAAGGGTATAAGTTGATGAGAGGAAAAGCTTTAAAAAACAAAAACAAAAGAGAGAGTAGTTATTCTAAGTATATTTTTTGATACGAAAGCAGGCCTTTTAGACTTTTTAAAGTTTTTTTTATTTGTCTTTTATTTTATATTTACATTTAAAAGCATAGAAAAAATGTTTAAAATGCTTAATAAATGAACTTGTATTCATCTTTTTGTTGATGTGATCTTTATTTACCATGTTATTTTTAAAGTTATTTTTTATGTTTTTGATATTATAATGTTATTGTTTAAGTTGTTTATAAATATATAGTGTTGTTTTAGTTTTTGTTTAATTTAAGCAATGCTTATTTATGCAATGGATATTCTTTCTAATTGTGCTGGGTCTGTTTATGACCAAAATGATTTTAGAAAAATGAATTTTGAATACATATTACATGAACATGTAGTCTGTTTTAAATTGATAGTTTTTTTAAAAAAAATTGGTTACTCGTGTATGATTTTGATGTTTTAATTTTATTTGTTAGTTTTTTTATATTCGTACATATATGTGTATAGTAGTGTGACATGTTGGATTAAAGAAAATATGCTTTAGAAGCCAGGAACATAATTGTCTAGCTTGATGGTGGTTGCTTTTTGCAAAGTTCATGGCTAGGTTCCTAGGTAATGTTCTCCATGTTTTTGGAAAGAACATTACCTTAACTCCATGATTAAGAGCAGTTTTTGTCATTTCTTTGCACTAAACCCTTTCGGCAACTTGATTAATTGATAATCTAGGGTTTATTTGCATCAATACCAAGTTTTTGATGAAATTTACTCCTAGAGTTTTAGTTTTAAATCAAAACCTATTTTGACAAAATCATATTTATTCTTTGATATTTGAAGTAAATGGATGTTAGATTATTGATCCTTACATGATTTTCAGCATGTAGGTGCCTTTTGTTTGACTGTATCTTGTCTAATTTGGACTTCAGGTTGTTAGGCTAGGTCTGGGCATGTTCTTCATGTTCTTGGAAAAAACATTGCCATAGACCCTTGATTCAGACCAGTTTTGGTCCATTTCTTTGCACATGACATTTCTTTATGATTGATTAGTAAATAATCTATTGCTTATTAGCATCAATAACAACTTTTGATAGATTTTAATCCTAAAGTTTTGGTTTTGAATCGAAACTCATTTTGATAGAATCGTGATGTTTAAGTAATAATCGAAGTGAATAGATGCTAGATTATTAATTCTTGTATGATTTCCAACATGTATATGCATTTGTTTTTACAGTATTTGGTCTGATTTAGGTTTTACATTGCTAGATTTGGGTTTCAATGTTCTTTATTTTTTTGGTGTTTGATCCATTTTGTTTAAGAATTTTTTTAGTTGTTGCATTTTTTTTGTTTAATCTATTTTTTTTTTACTTTGGTTTTGTTTTTGGATTACTTTCAAGTCAAATTAGGATTTTTTTATTTGGTTTATGATCGAACATAAAACTTTTGGTCACCCTGTTAAGTCAAAATCAAGTCAAGGATTTAAGACCCTATTTAGTTTTCCATGTTTTTGATAAAGTTTTTTTTTTAAGGGTTTGTTTGTCAAACACCCCTTAGACATATTTTGGTAGTTTTATTACAAGAAACAATGAGGTTTTTGGCTAAATAAAGCCTAAAAAATAATAAAATTCCTTTTATTTTGCATATGGCCACATTCTAAAATTTTCAAGCATATTTTATTTTTTATAAAAAAATTGCATTTTTATCATACTTTGAAAAAAAAATACAAGAATTAGTTAAAGGGTATCATAACTTATTTATGATTATACATTAGAACTTATATGTAAGAAGTATTCTTGATATTAAAAAAAAATCATTTTAGTTTTTTTATATTTTTGCATTAGAATGGTTAAATTTTAATCTAATAAGATAAAGACATCTTTAAAAAGAACTTTTTTAAAACCATATATAGACCAAAAGTTAAAAAAATATAATATTATCTTAGTTTACATCAAACAAATAAATAATGCAATTTATCTTAGGTAAGGTATATTAGGAGCGTTAATATCTTTTTTTTACCTAATCAATCCTCATACTTAGACTCTAAAACCAGTTAGAATTTCTGACCAAAATACTATGTGACAACTTTCATTCTCCCTCTTTTACTAATAAAAGAAAATAATTCATTGTCCTTTCCATCCATATTATTCCTAAAAATCTCAATCTGGGAGGATGATCATTGTGATGGCATACACACATGACAAATATTAAGTAATGTCAAAGTAAGATCTTTTATCTTAATCTCATAACTCTTCGCCAATAATTATCTTAAACTCAATATATTGCTTTTTATAATTGAGATATAATAGACATTACTAATAAATTAATTACTACAATTTTTCAATCTAATGAGAATCGTATATTTCTCTTTGATGAAAATCCTTGAATGATCTATAAAGGTGACATTACATTTAATTGATTCATTAAGCTTCATAAACTTGTGTTTATCTCTACACATGTGATTGTTGGCATAATTGTCTAGATACCACATGTTTTTTTTTCTTTCTTGCATTTGATCATTATAAACTAGTAATAAAGTGACTTTTTTCTCCCCTTCTACTACAAGATTGACATTCTCTTAAACCCTTCTAGTTAGATTCCAATAATCCTTGGTATAATGATCTCTCTTCTCACAATTGCAACATTTAAGTTTTGTTTTGTCAAACCTGGGTAAGATTGCTATTGTTAGTTGAACTGGTCGACCAATTTGCTTCATTCAGTCAACTAATTAACCTATTGAGATTGTTTCAGCCTTCTCTTTTAAATTTTTCTCTTCCTCCACTTCCTCTACCTCCTTGAATATATCTAGAACCATCTTGCTTCTCTTTTGAATAGTTTTTTTTTTTTTAAAAAAGAGTGCTTATGCACCCATATCTTGAATAGTTTTTTTTTTTTTTAAAAAAAAGAGTGCTTATGCACCCATATATTTTTTAATGTCATTGACTCATTCTTCATGGACTTGTAGTTTTCTCATGAGTCATTAAATAGTAAAAAGTCTATATTTTACGATTCTGTTATCGCAACCACCATATAATGGAATTTATTTTGTAGCAAGCGTAGAATCTTTTATACCATATGTATGTGTTTCCTCCATCTTCTCTTCATATCTCTTTATACTCTAGCAAAGTAATTTGAAATGCCCTCTTATTCAAGTATGTAGTTTTTCAAAGTTACCTCATAAATTTTCCTCTAACTTCTCATGCTTACTTGTAGATGGTTGCATTAGCCACTATCTCAAAAGTGAAATGATTCATACATTGATGGATGATTGTGAGTGCTTGTTGATCCTTTATTCATGTCTTTTGCACAACTTCCTTTTGAGTTGAAGTCAATGTCACTCCTTCTCTAGGCTTTTTAAAGCCTTTTCAACCGTTTTTCACACATCTTGGAAACCTTGATAAGCTCTTACATAAATACACCAAGTTTCATAATTATCCTTTGTTAAACTAGGACATTGAAGTGAGAAATTTATAGTGGCCATGTCAAACAATAAAAACAAGCTCTAATACCACTTTTGGAAGAGAAAATATGTGTGGCAGGAGTTTATGGATAATAATGCAAAGATACAAAACTAAAGAACAAGAAAAATATTTGAGAGGAATAAATGTTTCATTAATTGTTTTCTTTTCAATACATATTTTCTCTTTATTACACTTAGTTTTTATGCTTCTAATTACAAGCCTATTTATAGGTCTAAAGTCCTAGACAATCAAATAATTAAACTAATCAATGAAAACCTATTCTAAATAGAAGAAGTAATTCTATCAACTTAATTAGTCAATTGATTCATTTAATTTAACCGGTAAACAGTTCCTTTTATTTTTCATAAAAACTAGAAACCTAGTTTATTTTTAACACTAACATCCAAATAATTCATATTATTAAGGATAAAAAAACTCACACGAGAAATTCTATGATTCTCAAGCCGTCACAACCATCCATCATAGAATTTTTCTCATATAGTATTTAAGGGTAATGAGTAACATTTGTATCTGGGATTCTGCAGATACCAAATGTTGTCGGGGGAGTTGCTGATACATAGGCCTTTAAGGCAGTGACTATAATGCCATACAGAAAAGAATACTTAATAATGATACCATAAATAGGACCCTTATAATGGAGGATCCATCGTTTGAAGGTGTTTTTGTAATGCGACTCGATGGCGCTTTTAACCTTTATAAAAGCATAGGGGTTGGGCACTATATTGTTTGCTATCTCATTGAAGAGTTCTGCTACTTGTTTGTCGCTTCCAAGAGTAGTGAGGAGTATGCCCTGGGATCGCAGTTCCTTCACATCTTCAGGATGATCAATCAATGAATCCATGAAGCATACATAAGATGTGATCCAATCTTTGGATGTGTCGAGGGTTGCTTCATAGGCTACCAAGTTTAAAAGTAAGGACTTAGTTGAGTCATCTATACTTAATGGAGGAATATATAGTCTTCCTGCAAGCCATGTTGGCTTGAATTGAACATCAGTAAAATGACTGGTCTTACTTGGCTTGAAGTGGATTCCAATATCCCTAAGCTCCTCGGCAGGATAATACCTGTACCAGATCGTTCGAGTATCATCCTCTTGCCAACTTGTCTGAGAAGTATGATCACTGAGATTTATTTGGTGTCCCACGAACTGCATATGGAAAAACTCGAGAAGATGGGCTGGCTCATGTTGATCTCCGCTTAGGCCACTTAGACTTGATAGTGATTTTGGAACTAAGTTGCAAATTTTTTTTGATATTTTATCCCTGCACGACTCTCTTCTAGGAGGTATTGCACGAATGTGTTTGAAGAAATCTGCGAACAATTTCATCCCTTCTCCACCTCCCTGATCTGACCTTTTGTACCTAAAGCTCATCAATGATTTGAGAACAGAAAAAGGGAGTTGGTTCTCTAGTAAAAACAAGTCCTGTGTAACCAAAACTGCATCATGACTGCTTATCTTCAGATTTTCGGGCATCTGCATGAAGCAGATGAGGAATTGGAGAATGAAGCAACCGTCAAGAAACATCATCTGGTTGAATTGGTCGTCCTTGTTGAACTTTGCTATTATGTCCTCCCCGTAGCATTTACTTGCACCTATCTTTAATTCTTTCACCTTGCTCCACATTGCTTCAAAGGGCATTTCGCAATCTTTTACAAACTGGCGTGCCATCGGAAACTTGAGCTCCTCCATTTCCTTGAGTTCTTGCTTCCCATGGTGATAGGGTCCAAGGGAAACCATCGAGGGATCGTAGCATTTCTTGTTCTGTTCAATTTTACGAAACGTCGATGGAACCCTCGGAACCTTTAGCCCTTTCTGTTGGTAATTGCCACCAGTTTCTTCCGTAATTTCAGTTGTCATCTTTCTCAACCACTCATCACAGCTAGTGAAAGAATGTGAGACTGAACCTGAAGAGATCACAATTTCTAGTTTTTTATCCTCCATTCTAAGTAAATATTGGTAAATGTGGGGTTTTCTACTTAGGTAATGCACATCTTCAGAAAAATACGGTTCTATCTTATAGGATTTCTAAACGATCTGCAAGCTTGAAGTTGAAGTAGCGTTTAGTTTGGAACAAGTATTTTAGCTTACTTGGAAGGGGAGCTCACTTTGTTTTCTAAAGCAAGTGGTCAGATAAAACTTTGTTTTCTAAAGCAAGTGGTCAGATATTGGCAGAACAGTGAAATCAAAAGTTATTCTCTAATACAAAATGTGTATGATAAGAATTCAGCAAATAGTTTAGCAGCAGATAAAGTGAACTAATGTTTATGGAAAAATTGATGCAGGCGGAATCCAATAAGACAACAAAAAGAAACAAAATAATGTAATAAGCAAAAAAAGTTGCAAGTATGAACCCAAATTAAATGCAATGTTTTGTAGATTTTATTGTAGGAATGGCTAATGCAGCGTTTTGTAGATGGGATTCTCTTCCTTTCAGGTACCTAGGCTTACCTTTAGGTGCTAACCCGAGAAGAATTTCAACGTGGAAGCCAATAACGTGGAAAGGCAGGATGTTAAACATGATCATGTAGAACTTGCCTTCTAAAATCTGTCCTTACTGCTTCACCTATTTACTGTATATGACCATTTTTCTAATGCCAAAGGGAGTGATAAAAATGGTGATAAACTACAAAGAAGGTTTTTGTAGGCTGGTACATTATGTTGCACCCTTGCGGCGGAGCAGAAGGTTTTTGTAGGCTGGTACATTATGTCGCACCCTTGCGGCGGAGCAACGACCATCGATTGATTTCGGGGTCTTTTGTTTTATTGTAAACAAGGGAGTCACCACCTAGTATCATGGTCATTAGAAAACCTAACTGGTCTTTCAGAGATTCTAAGACAATGAACTGGTTGCATAAAGGGAAGGTGTTAGCACCCCTAGACGCTCTACCTAAGGTGAGCTGTTTGGTATTTGATTTGTTTTATAATTGCTATGGTGTTGGTTTTTTTTTTATAAAGGGAAGGTGTTAGCACCCCTAGACGCTCTACCTAAGGTAAGCTGTTTGGTATTTGATTTGTTTTATAATTGCTATGATGTTGGTTTTTTTTTTAAAATCCCATCAGTTTTTCTCGGTTTAATTCTAACTAAATTTATTAAGATAGAAATCCAAGGAGATTCCATGTGCTTTACGAGCTCATTTTTCCCTTGGTACTTCAAGAGTTTGCGACTCGTAAATCGCAAAGAGGAGGGACAAAAATTTAGAAATCTAGGGTGTTTTAAAAAAACTATTTTTTTAGTCTTAGTATCTATTTTTTTGTCTTAGTGTTTTATACTCTCATGGCTCGTAAACCGTGGAGTAAAAAATTGAAATGTCCTCGATTATAATCAAGGTTTCTTTCAAGGATGTGTGCAGATTTATTATTCCTAGAAAATTGTTTTGGATATTTACCACTCCGGTTTTTTTATTCGAATATTAATAGTGAATAATAACAAATTATTCCCAATAATATTTTGAATATTCATCCTTTAAGGATTTCTTTATCCAAACATTAGCGATGAATAATAGATGAACTCCCCCAAAAATAAGATTATTATATATATTTTTTTAATATTGGCCAATACCCTTTGAAGTTTTACAAACATGTTGTAAAATCCAGAAATACAAGAAAATAATTTTTGTGTTTAAGAAATCCATGCGAAAACACATTTTTCAAAACTTCAAATATTTGTTTTTTAGAGGAAGTTCAAAAAGATGTTAGGGTATTGGTCGTATGCAACACACAAGAAAATATTTTTTATATATTTAAAAAAAAAAACAAACATCATGATTAGACATAAACACCATAATGGAAAGTAGCAAACCATCATTCATATTACAAGAACTACAAGAAACTTGAAACAATTCATAGCAAAAATCGTTCAAAACTAGATCAACTTAAGATTTTGTACACGAGGGAACCAAAGTTTTGAAACTGAAATTTTGAAATCAAAATCCTACTGCATGTGACCATGACTCATGACTAAAGTTTTTACAATCCGGGAGAAACTACCATGCTAATTTCATACAAACAAGAAGAACTTGAAATGGCATGCTTTTATAGCACATATATATCTCGGGCTAGAAAACAAATCAGACTTGGCTGATTATAAAAAAAAATGGAAGGACATGAACAGAAAAAGAAGCTACTGATGAAGAAAACAACAGCCCCTTTCCCGGGTTCCTTAATTCTGAACCAGCAAAAGAAAAGAGATAATCTCGGCAGAAACAACACAAGGGAAGCAAGAAAAAAACAGAGGCTAGCTAACTCTTAACAGTCACCCATCCAAAACTCAAAACCACGACAGAAACAACACAAGGGAAGCGTTCATTGTACAGTCTAAAATTGAAAATAAATGTGCAAAGCAAAGACAAAACAGTAAAGGCAACAAGGGAGGAGAAGGTTAAGACTTACTTACAGGTCTCACTATTTTATTTTCTGCAGAAGATGAAATAAAATCAAGCAAGCGTTGCTGTCAAAGTTTAGAGCAAAACTCCCTCTCCCTCTCTGTCTTGTCTTTTTTTTTTCTTTTTCCTTACGGTGACACCTCTTTGTTTTTCTTTTTTTTTTCTGCATTACATCTTTTGTTCTTTTCTGTTCCCTTTCTTGCTTTCATTCCTCTCCCTTTTGTCCTCTCTTTTTCTTATTTTTTTGCCGCTTTTTGCTCTCTCTTTTTTTTTTTCTGCTGCCCTAGGTCATTAGAGAGGCTTATATATAGTCTAACATATCTCTATTTAGGAAGGATTCAATGCATTAATCCTAGGACGCAAATTCGTACTGATTTGCAGTAAAAAAAAAACATAAAAGGAAACTACAATATTATGATTTTGTGTTGGTGTTTTACGTCTGATTTCTTTCCAGTTTTGAAGGATGGTGTGGCTCTTTTCTTTCCTTCCATAGGGTCAGCTACTCCCTTTGAAATGAGGCAACAAAAATGTGGTCTTCAGCTCCAACAATCAGGCATGATGAGAAAGGAAAACAGCAGAGAAAAAGGGAAAGAAATCAGATGGAGAGTGCAGCTGCAAAGTCTTGTTTTCCTTATTCGGTGTGGTAAAAATCCAATCATTTATGATGATCCAGCCCCCCTCTCTAACTTTCAATATCCTTTTTTAATTTGATCCCTTATTTTAACACTTTTCAATTCAGTCCTTGGTCCAGAAAAAAATCTTTCGAATTAGTCTCGCGAACTTGGGCTATATCCTTCCCGCGGCAAAATTTTCTACCTTCACGTTAGATATTCAAATAGGAATATCTTGAGCTTCTGATATCAAAATCAAGTGATTTGAAAGCTCAAATTCATTTACACGTCTAGGACTAAAACTTTGATGAAGAAATCGAAGTGAGATAAAATCTTTTTACAGAATAGAATCTAGCAGTGATTTGGTTGGTCGAAAGGGATCTCCGGGTCTAACTCAAAAAATGATGAATATCAAGAATCCTGATATGACTGAGAGTATGAACTAAGAACAAAAATCACAAAAACTAGGCCAAAAATAGAGTTTTTTTAGTGCAGACTCGGGTCAATATCCTTCTCGCGAAAGAATTCTCTGCCTTCACGTTAGATATTCAAACGGGAACATCTTGAGCCTCTGATATCAAAATCAAGTGATTTAAAACCTAAAATTCATCTAAACGTTAGATATTCAAACGGGAACATCTTGATCCCCTGATATCGAAATCAAGTGATTCAAAAGCC